TTGCTTACTCGATTGTCCCACGATACACGAGCAATGCTCCGAAGACATTTATGATCAAATACTAGTGAGCCGCGAATATTACTTATCCTTACCGGTCATGTTTCGCAGCCATGTAATAGGACGAAGCGAAACGCTACGCAGTAGACTAGTCCTTTGGTTAGTAGACAGATATATCGCCAACGTCATAAGTGACGCAAGTTGGCTAACGCCAATCGAGCTTTCTGTATACGTGCCGAGATTTCGTCACATACCAGGCCATCAGGACTGATGAGACTCCCAAAGTAGGTGACGCGGCCGACACGTTCAACGACTTCGCTCACTACCACTAGTTCACGTGCGAATGCAAGCCAATCCAGAAGCAACATTTTGCATTTCGAGGGGGAGAATCACATTCCAAACACTTGCATTGTTGCTTAGGGCGGTCAGAAGACTCTGCATTTTGTCAGCATCTTCATCAAGCAGAACTATGTCATTTGCATATTCTAAGTCGACAAGTGGATCTCCCAGTAAAAGCTCAATGCCTGAATAGTCAGACGATCAAAGTGTTATCTCTAAAGGTATGTCTATGACAAAGTTGAATAAGACTGTGGAAAATGCACAACCTTGATGGACACTACTTGAAGAACTCAGTTCCGATGACAATTCGTCATAAACTCTAACTCGACCAGTAGTGTTCGAGTAGAGAGCTTACATAAAGTCAATGTACTTCTTTGGTACACCATTTATTGACAGACACTGCCACAGAATTTACGGTCGACAGAGCCGAGTACCGTTTTAAGGTCGAGAAACGCTACTATTGTGGGACGTATGAATGTGTGTCTAGGTTCTAGAACCTGGCGTAGTGTGAATATATGGTCTATACAACCACGTACAGATCGAAAACCAGCTTGTTTCATTTGCGTCTGCTCTTCACGAGCTATAGTTAGGCGTCTAAGGATTATCGAGGCTAACAATTTAGAACTATATTATTTAGACTGATTCCCCTGTGATTGTCACAAGAAGACTTTTGTCATTTCTTATAAACTGGGACAATCATGGATTGAGACCAGTCAGATGGGACTACGTCCAGTTCCCAGATTCTACCTAAGATCTCAGTCAATCTAGCTGCTAAAACTGGATCACCAACCTTGAAAATCTCAGGAGTCAGCTTCTCCGGCCCCTTCCTCTCACTCCATATTTCTCATAGCTTTGACAAATTCATTATGAGTTGGGGTACTTGCATTAATTCGTCATTCAGGTTGACTGGAGACCGGGGGTAAACGAAGTGTGATTGAATGCCAGTTGATCTACTCCCTAAGGTGTTCTGTCTATCAATCCAATCTCCTTGATTGAGAATGAATAATAATCCGTCTTTTTGCCTGATAGTCTCACTAGCTGTTGGATTCCTGACACCAGTTTCCATGCTTAGTCCGTATAGTTGTCCATTGTTACCTATTACCGTTACCTATTCCATCTCTCTTGCTTTCGCTACCCACCACTGTTCGCGATCATCGCGTAGGCTTTTTATCAACATGCGCTTAAGTTGACTTTGCTCTTCTTCATGATCAGAGCCAGGCGGAGTGAATTTTCGAGCACCTATCAGTTTGGTGTAGCTACTGAGATCCTCTGATTCTTTCTAACCTTTTGGCTAATCTTAGTGGTCGATATAACCTCTGTTTTCAAAGCTTTCTGGATACTATTCCCAGCTGACTCCGGATGGGAATCACTTACATTGCCGCTTAACTGTTTTTCTAGTTGTTCGTGAAACATATTTTTAGCTTTATTATCATTGAGTAAAGCCCTAAGAGGTTTCTTTGCGATATTTCTCCTACGTCCAGTGAGACGCGAAAAATACGCACTCGCACTAGAGCATGGTCTGAGTCAAAACAAGTGCTCCAGAATGAGCGGCAGTCTTCAATAGAGCCTCTTCATCGATGGCTGATAGCGATGCGGTCTAGTTGGGTCCATGTTTGGGTAGACTGGAAGTCGTTATGTCAAAAGATGATCTTCCTTATGCTTAAAGTTAGTATTTGCTATAAATAGGCAGTTATCTGTGCTACAACAGACGGTTCCCATTATCTGTTCTTTGAGTCACGACACCACATGATTCACTTAGGTGTCTTTCAGTTCCGCTTAGTCTACCTACTTGAGCATTAAGGTCACCCACCACCATTACTTTATCAGAACGCTTAACTTTCTGGAGGCGGTCCGAAAGTTTTCTGGAGAACTCATCTTTAACCTCGTCCGAACTGCAGTCAGAGGGAGCGTAGGCAGATATGACGAAGAGGCAACGGTGAGTGGTCCTATCATCCAGTTTTTATGTCCCGCTAGTCGGACAACACAGAAGCGATTGTCTATTGAGACCCAGTCTAAGAGACCTAAGTTTCGCTCTAGGACTCAATGCTATACCTACATCTGCAAGGCCATGGATGGCAGTATCAGGGCTACCAGAAACACGGAGTGTAAATAGAAACAGTTCTTCATTTAGACAAGGTGAAGTCAAATTAATCACTGTACTTGGACCCCGTATGTGCGTTTCGGAGACGCAGAATAAATCGATGACAAGAGATTCTAGAGTCCTAGCTAAGGAAGCTTGTTGTCCTATTTGGCACAATGTTAGAAAATTAAAAGCTCCAACATGTAGTTTAGAGCGGGGTTTCAGGAGACTAAGAATAACTTTTCGTGAAGTCACATCGTTTGCATTAGTGGTACGGGTTAATAAAGGAATGTGAGAAGTTAGTTGTGGAGATAATAGAGATGTTAAGGGGTGTAGGAAGGATTTGATTGTGACTAATATGGTCTGATGTGCTGTTACGGGTATATGGGAAGTATGTGAATGATACATTCATATGTGATAAACAATTTCGTATTCAGGATATTCTTTAGCAGTTTATGAACTCTCCATCTATCAATCAAATTTTCAGTAGAATAAGATTGTGAATAAAATGCTCCAATCTGTTGAAGGTATATTCACCTAAAGAGATGTCAGATCAATGAAATGGTCTATGCATAGAAAACCTACGTGCAGAGGACTTCTGGAAGATTTTCACATTTGAGTCCCAATAATTAGAAAACGGGATCTTATCTATTCCTTATGCTCATGATATCGTAAGATCTATTTAGTAAACTACGTATATATTTTAGTATCTGATCTCCTAGAAAAACGATGCGTGTTCAGTTTTGTCGAGAAAAACTTGAAGATTTGCTTTCAGAAATTGAATACACTATTTACGAGAAATTCTGGTTGATGAATCTTCAATTTAAGGGAAAAATTTTTATTGAAAACCTATCAATTGCATTTAATGAAATAGATCTCTCTGTAAGCTACTTCAGATATATTTGTATATGCTTCCAGTTTGGTAGATAAGTTGCCCCAACTTAACGAATACCAGTTTAGCTGCTTCTGGGAAGTTAGGCATTTCGACGAGACCACTTTTTTGTCTAATCTCAAGTAGCTACCTGTATAGTTTAGCAAAGGACATCACCTGTAAATTACATCATTCATTCTCGAACATATAATAGATGCACAGTGAGTCATCCAATGTCTAGCTCACATGACTCGTTCCACTTATCTATTGACCTTGTCAATCATTCGTCGCTTTCATTCATGTGTGTGCAAACCTATCTCGCTTGTTACATGTCTGTCTTAGATTTGTATGGCTATAAACTCTTAGTCATGCTTTATCTAGTTGAGTTGGCTCACTAGCCTTCCACACTCCATTCACCAATTCGCTCGTTAGTGTGCTTGTGGTCTACTGGTCCATTTGTGGTATGCCAAAATAAACGTATTCAACACTTGGTGTTCACTTTCTGATTTCAAGCCGTCAGGCGCTACTTAGTAACTATTGTCTGGACGAGCAAATTACGAAGTCTAGGAACACGTTGGATACCGACCGCCACGAGACTAGTGATACATAGGCCACCACAGATGAAATACGCTCAGAACCGAATACATCCTCTAGGATTATTCAGTCAAAGATACATTGAAACCTACTTTACGTTAGAGAAGCTTTAACTGTTTATAACTATGAACGTGGATGATGTAACTAAAGAGTAATTTTCATATGCCTTCAATTATCATTGTCTTAGTTCTATGCTAGCGACTTGTTCTTTTTCTTTCCTTTACAATTATGAAATTTAAAAAAATGACTTTATTTCCTGAATGATGTACAGATTGTTTCTACTCAGATTTTGTGGTTACCATTCACATACCGCCTCAAATAACAATGAACTTAGTTTACCATATTGATTCCATGTTTCGAATATTCTGTAACAATTTATATCATTTTGAACAGACTTAAAAAATGGACCAACTGAAAAGAATTCTTTTGCTAAATATATTGTTTTAGAACTTATCAGATAAATATGAACTACATAAAGCTTAGATTTTTAAGTTAAATGAATAAATACAGAAATAATGAAAAGACATAATATAGTATTCCTAAAACAAGTCGTTTACAACGTAGAATTTGATATTATCGATACTGGAGAGGTTGTTATCAAATAAATCAATTAAGGCAGTTAGTCAGGAAACGTTCAACATCCTACTTTTTTACAGTTGGTCTTGCTAATAAATGCATTGTGAATCAATTTAATTATTTCGTCCGATCTGTGTCACACAATGATTAATGCCGCTGATTCTTGAGTTACATGGTTTTATGTTCAACAAGGTATGAAATCTGATGGAGTTGTCCGATTTAAATCCACCTCGGAGTTAAGGTTTCCATTTTATTACATTTTACATGCATAATGAGCAGTACTGTACTGCATTAAAACTTCTCAACTAACAACTGATCAACTTTTATCAACCTTCTTATAAAATGATCATCTGGTGTTAGTCAATGAAATGCATTATTTCCACAGGATTGACAAACGTCGAAGAGTATGAAACATTTGTCGTTGTTAATTCCTAGTCATTCGTATTAAAACAACATTTGAAGATTCTGAAAAAACGGGTAAAACCTGTTAAGTCCAAGAAAACCACCTTTTTTTTTAAAAAAAAAATAGTAATTGCCTCTATTTAGGAGATAACACAGATTTGATAATATATATGTATATATGATTTATTTCTTTATAACTATACAACAAAGTAATCGGGTTACATTATTCTAATAGAATAACATAACATAGTTTTTCTTCTTTGTGTTTATGCAGCATGTACGGAGTAAATAAAAGCAAATCATGTGTATACACACATATTCCATATTGGGGGACTAGGAGATCAGTACCGAAATTCTGCATATTTGTATATGTAAATAATTTGAATGAACATTAATTCAATGAAATGCTTAAATGAATAGAAAAGACGGCAATAGAAAAAAAAATTCAAAGCATTAAAGCTTAGGCACAATTATCATTCCATTTCATTATTAGTTCGAATAGAGTTAATAATACACAATACAAATTGTTACATAATGACTTAAATAAATAATAAGCGTTATTTTGAATTTCTTTTTTCTTCCTCAACAAAAATAAAAGTATACAATATACAATACAAGAACACAGAATCGTTTTTTTTGTACAACACACTACCATAAATACATAAAGAGATAATAAATGGAAAATTACTAATATGAAATGATTGAGTAAATCTATGTCTCTAATTGTATTTATTTATTTATTATGTGAATAAATATGTAAATTGTGTCACACTCACAATCGCACACACACACACACTAACAATCCCATGCAGAGAAAAAGGCTTGAATTATATGAACGTGTGTGTGTGTATGCATGTGTGCGAGCGTGTTATTTCATTCATAAAAAGTACACTAGAAACGATACCTATAAATTTCCAATTTCAATAAATAATCATTATATATGTATGTATGTATGTATGTATGTATGCATAACTGTCATTGAAATAATAAATAGACTGCTGTGTTGTTTAATTAAGAACGGGGAATTCACACTTTGTTTAGACAATAAAAAAAACAAAGAAAATTAGAAAGAAGCATTAGAAATGAGAATAAATACAATCAAAGAAAATACAATACAAAACAAAACAAAACAAAACAATCACTGTGACAAGAACATACAATGAATGTGTAGAGGAATGGTTCATCTAAATTGCAGTAAAATAAATAGAACTGTAAGTACCGCGCCTTTTACTACACTAGACAGTATGTGTCTAGAATGCGAGGAAAGTGTAATATGTAAATATATAAATAGATGGATGGAGTTATAATTAGAATTCTTTGATTTGTACGAACAAGGAAAATAAAAGAGAAGAATTTAATGACATCAACCAAACAGAAACACAATTTGTGCAATACACAATATACAAGAAGCAACAGAATGAAAAGAAAAAAAAACAACAACGAGTAAAGCATTGCAATTTAATGATAAACAATGTTGAGAAATGATGATTATGATTATTGTTATATTGCGAAAGACGATGTGAGTAAAATTGGATCGACCTAATAATAATGATGAGGATGATGATTTATGTGCTTTTGTAGATTATTTTAAGTGTATGTGTCCGCGAGTGTCTGTGTTTGTATTCATTGCATCATGTGAACAGAGAGAGAGAGGAACAAAAGCACAATATAAGTTTAGGAAACAATACATAGAGTGTTGGTAATAAGGGAAAAGTAAAAAAAAAAAGAAGACAGTTTGTACCGATTTGATTTTGTATTGATTGATTAATCAATATTCTAGGCTTTTCTCTCTCTCTGCTTCAATATGATTACTGTTACAATTAGTGTTATCGATTAATTTTTTTTATTAAAAAAATAAAAGAGGAAAAACAAATACACATCATTCATATACAATAATGCTAATATAAGTGCTAATTTATGATTCATCAATAATGAATTATTATTATGTTAAATCTTCATCATCTGTAATAATTCTTCTTTCATGATGTTGTTGTTGTTGTTGTTGTGAAATTAAAGCTTGTTTTATTTCTTCTAAACAAGCTGGTGGACTGCATGTACCATATTTTCGTCTAGCTAAAACACGATATTGTGATCTACCACCGACAGTAGGGCTGACAATTCTTGTTTCATCCTCTACAGGGAAATCCGATTGAAGCTGAAGCAAAACAAAATGAACAGAATTATGATATTATATGATTTGAATTGTGATTAAAAAAAAAATTTAATCACAATATTATATATGAAGCTCATATGCCATCTTAAGAGATATGTGAAAGATGAAATTAGTCAGTCAATTACAACGTAGAACTTCGTACGTAAGTACATAAGTTCATGTTACCATACCATATTAACACTGAGACGCAATTGTCACTTCAAATCCCATTGTGGGAGAGACAGTAGAGGTATTAATGGTAATGAAGAAGACTAGGGTTTGAAGAATCAGAATGCTCAAACCCCATGCCCAACCCTCCTCCTTTATTTAGGTTCGGAACTGACAGTAGCCCCCGATGTGCTCCAGGTGAAGTTGCATATATATATATACTCATACAAACATAACAATCATACAGAGATATAGGCAGACAGACAGACAGACAGATACAACGCAGAACTTCGTACGTAAGTACATCAGTTCACGTTGCCATGCCCCATCAGCACAGAGACGCAACTGTCAGTTCAAATCCAAGAGTGATAGCAATAATAGAAGTATTAGCAGTAATGGAGAAGATTAGGGTTCCAAGAAATTATTCAAGAAGTGTAATTCAGTGAAATAAATTTAGAAAGAGAAAGGTAGAGGTGATGACGAATTTAGAAGATTAGAATTTCATAGAACACAACGAGTGGATGCACCTGCGTCATTGTAAACGATTTTCAGCCATGTCATTTAACGTCTCTAACCATCGGTTACTATCGTCTCGCGGACCCCAACCAGGTGGTCTACATCTACCAACATGACTCAGTCCACTTGTTAGTGACTTCATCGATTTCTGCCATGTTTTGGTTTGGCTACCCCTAGATTTCTTTCAGCCTACTCCTACACCGCAAAACATACCTCGGTGATGCAGTCGGTGGTAGGGCAATCGTAACACATGTCCCAAAAAAAAGATAAAACTAAGAGGATGATCATATTTGTATGTTGTCTTCCGAAGATAACCTGATAAGATTTACACAATAAAATTTAAAAGTAAAGAAAATGTTATGATTTTAGTCTACACTGACAATGTTCTAGTTATCAAGCACTTTTGCTTATCTTCCCTACTAGAATCTTGAAAAATAAAATTCTAATTTTTGGTTGTCATTGTTTAACTTTCATTAAAAAGAGAATAATATTGTCTATGATAATAACGAGATAAAAAAATGACGTTTGAGTCATTTCATTATGAACTATGACCACGGGCAACAAGTATGAGCTTTATTTAGTGTCAAGTCTTAAAGTCAGTATTTTCTTGTACTGATTCAATATAAACTTATAGTTCAATATGACAAGTGTGAACTTTTTTTGTCCAATGTGTGCTTTGACAGTAATGCTGTATTTTGCCCTACATGTGATATTGTTGTGTGTAAAAAATGATATATAAATGACTATATTTTTGTCTAATGACGACATGATTTTAGGACTTATTTAGGGATGTGTTTTTAGAGAGCCAATAAATCCTCATTTCATCAGCTTTTGTGGTGGTGTTTCGTTCTCTGAGCTGGATGTTCATTGTTATTCTGAACAACATCATCAGCACAAACTTCAGATAGACCGCAGTGGTTCCTGTTTTAAATTTATGCAGTAAAACAACGAACCCAACAGAGTCAATACGTACATATTAGCAATGGTACACGAGAATGTTGGCAAAGGCGATCATTCAGACATAACAGAGTCGAGTAACAACGCACTTAGACATGACTAGGGCAATCAATCTGTAGACATAACAGTCTATTACTGCAGTTACGATACATGGATTATGATTACCTTCAATCACCCACCACCTTATGATTAAAAGATGTGACATCCTTAGTTTGAATGTGTGCATGTGCGTTTTAAAACTTTTATGATTGTTAAAGTTCTACGAGAACAATTTTTAAATAGTACAGAAATTTAGTTGAATGTGCGTAGAGTAGAATAGTTTAATCGCTTTTCGTCTAGGACAATTTAAATTAATTCAATAAAATTGATATGAGGTAGTTTTTTCCCCAATAGATTAACTTGAAGTGAAGATGCAGATGTTCAATTTAACGGATACTTGGTAGCATTAGAGACCTTGAACGACATGACTAAAAATCGTTTGCAATGGCGTAGGTGCATCCATTCTTCGTGTTTGCCTCATGACCTTCATCGTTTTCGTCCCTAATCCATTTCATTGGATTATACTCCATGGATAATATCTTCGGACAGTGACCTTTCAGATTACTGTTCATACTTCAATTACCTCTACCATAGTAAATTTGTATTGTTTTAAAATAGACACAAAAAACACACAACATTCTCCAATACTTAATGACGAACATGTTAATCAGACTTACCATAACACGATCTGAAGTAGCGTTATTAACACACATGGGTTGTAAAGTAACACCATATGATGAGTTGACTGTTAGATTATCACTTTCTGTTTTATCAACAATTTGTGAACTACTATCATTGACATCGAATGAAGTATTGGCAAAGTAGTCAACATTATTGGCAGATTCATCTAACTGTTCCATAGAAGAAGAGCAACTAGATAAAGGAAGATCCATATTCATTGAATTTATAGAGGACAGTGGGAAAACTGAAGGTATATTTGTAGGTATAGCTGAACAATTAGGTTGTGGTACAGAAATCGATGATAACTGTTGGGCTGATGGAATAGAATTCGGCATCATAACAGAATCGGGGCTGGTATTGAAATCCTTTGAATAAGGTTTGCCTAGCAAACTTTTATGCTCAGGACCTGTAATTGAATGAGATGATGTTGTTGGATGGTCACAGTTAGGTATGATTATTCCAGAATCTGTAATAGGTGTGGTCGATGAATCAATATTCAGATTATGTAAACGTAATTTCTCACCCAATAAGAGGTAAGTAGCTGTCAGATGATCGTAAGCACAACGTAGAAGTGACTGTAAAATACAAGAATAAAAATAAGCAATGGAAAAAAGTAGATCAATGGAACGCAAGTTATATTCAGTTCTTCAGTATCCCCGTTGTTCAATTATAAAAGGTAAATTGATAACATAAACATAATAAAAAGAGCCTTCTGAAGCTACTCGATCCCGACCGTAGCTGCTACCTTGGCGTGGTGGTCAGGCTTGACTATCGTGATGACCCTACCAAGCTATACTGGCTGGAACATATGTTCATAAAGGTTCTACCATGCCAGGCAGGTCGATTGGAGAACGATCAGACTAGAAGCAGCTACCCAAGGTCTGAGGACCAAGTTGTACTGATGACTGCAGAGGGGTGTGACAGCAGTAAGGTGTTTCCCTCGGACAACCAGCATCTGCAGCGATGCTGCCTTCTCACAAGGAAGGAAGGGGTAGGAAAGATCGAACCTAAAAATGTCACACCTCACCATACCTCACGGATTTCCGTTTCCGGTGGTAAGGGTGTCCACTAAGGGCTTTCAAGAGCGGAGCTAATGCTCAAAATCCCTACATAAAAAGACCATGCGTGACCGGCCTCAAGCAGTTGTCCCTTGGACTCTGCGATCACGCTCCCAGGTCTCTAAGACCAACACTAATCTATCTTCCTTTTCAGGTCCCTCAAGAAACAACCTTCCACGGTGTGGGCAGCCGGGAAGTGACAACCGTCCTCATACCCATAACAACAGCACGCGAGACCAAATCGGTCAAAATCAAGTCCTTCCTACACCCCCTAATATCTCTCTTCTCTCCACAACTAACTCTACTCACATTCCCTTATCTCACTGCACCGCTAATGCAAACGAAGCGAGTTGACGAAACGTCACTCCTGGTCTCTTGAAACCCCGTTCCAGACTACATGTTGGAGCATTTAATGTACGGACATTGTGTCAAATAGGGCAACAGGCTTCCTTAGCTAGGACATTAGAATGGGTCCTATATATATTATATTAGCATCAGGTTACTTACTTACTTAGGCCTGTTACCCCCAATGGAGCATAGGCCGCCCACCAGTTTTCTCCAACCAACTCTGTCCTGGGCTTCCCTTTTCAGTTCTGTCCAATTTTTGTTCGTTTTCCTCATGTCTTTTCCCAGTTCTCAGCGTAATGCGTTCCTTGGCCTTCCTCTTTCCCTTTGACCTTGAGGGTTCCAAGGGAGGGCTTGGCTGGTGATGCAGTTGGATGCTTTTCGCAGTAACTTATCCACTTCCAACGCTTCTTCCTGATTTCCTAATCCGCTGGAATCCGGTTTGTTCTCTCCCACAGTAGGTTGTCGCTGATGATGTCTGGCCAACGAATACGAAGTATTTTGCGTAGACAACTGTTAATAAACACTTGTATCTTCTGGATGATGCATTTTGTAGTTCTCCAAGTTTCCGCTCCATACAGTAGAACTATCTTGACATTTGTATTGAAAATTCTGATTTCGGTGTTGATTGATATTTGTTTGGAGTTCCAGATATTTTTCAATTGTTGAAATGCAGCCCTTGCCTTGCCGATCCGCGCCGTCACATATGCATCGGATCCACCTTGATTGTCAACGATGCTGTCCAGATATGTAAGGGTTTTAACGTCTTCCCAGGTGTGTCCCTCAAGAGTGGTTCGGTTGGCGCATGTTGTGTTGTATCGCAGAATCCCACCGATAAAACTAACTCGCTGAAAAACGCTAACCAGAACAAATAATTAGCCTCAGTTACTAGAACAATAAATGAACATGAAAATGTATTTCTTTTTTAAATTCACTCCGGTGGTAACTTACTTTGAGAATTTGAGTGCGACACATTCCGTAAGACTCCATAATCATAATAACCAATTCATTTAGTTTGCCAACCTTGATAGAAAAAAGTAACAGAATAATAAAACTAAAAAATCATAAAAGTGCGGGTTTAGAAGTGTTACACGCCGAAATTACAAAATACAGTTATCTAGAGAATACTACTTCAAGAAAACTAGATACGATACACTATGTATAGAATTATATAAAAAGTAATTAACAGTTGTGATATATCCAAGATTGAAGTCAGATTTTCGATCAACAGCTTCCAGCCGGAACGATATGAAACAATGATGGTGTGGTGTACGCGGTCAGAAGATTTATGTGAAGGTGATGATTTGTAGCTCAGTCAACGGTGACCTGTTTTCCCTTTAACCTAAAAGTATATAAAAAGATCGGCAGTCTAAAGATATGATAAATCATCATCAATGCAGGCAGCTAACTTTGAACATGAATACGGAAGGGAAAATATTAGGATTTTTGATCAATTTGTATGGATGGTAGGGAATTCTTACAAGCGTGATATCCTGCTCCATCCTCAACCAACAGACATCAGCAAATATCCAGTTTACTGACGCACAAAAAAATGTCAATCAGCACTGTGAAATAAGAGGTCAACCGAACAAAACTATCAACCAAAATGTTAGGATACATGAGCGTAACACTTGTGAAGACAGCCAGTTACAAGGTCATGAAAACACACTAATTTGGGGTATGTGGATTTATTAAAAGGTTAATCTCTACCTGAAGTTAGCACTTACTATGCTCTGCACTTTAGTTAGACATAATTATTAGCACAAAGAGGCACCCAAATATTTATGCGTCACATTAATCGTTAAATTTGTATCTGGGCTGGGATACAACCGCCCTCATACCCATAACAGCACGCGAGACCAAATTGGTCAAAATCAAATCCTTTATACCCCCCCTAGTACCTCTCTTATCTCCACGACTAACTCTTCTCACATTCATTTACTTCTAATACCTTTACTACCTCTTCTACTATTGGATTTGAATTGACAATTATATCTCTGTGCTGATGTGGTATGGCGACATGAACTGATGTACTTACGTACGAAGTTCTACGTTGCAACTGACTGACTGACTGACTGGGATACTGTCCAAGTGCTAAACTGAAACGGGAAGATTTGTTAGCGGATCACTCGCCGAGTCTATGACCCAGAGGCCTAAACCATAAGGCAATAGAGCAACGTTAAAGGGTGCAACCCCATGATAGCCAACTGCTATGTTTGTGCTAATTAGGATACGGAGAACGGACTCTCCCCACTCTTAATCGTACCAGTGTATTAGAGGGTTAAAGGGTGGAAGCACATCGGATTAGTTCAGTCAATGATGATACAAGTTAGAAAGAAAATGAAAATGTCACAATTAAACCATCCTTTTTAGAGTATGCAACACAATCAACAGATCAATTCAACTAAAGTGAGAAATAACGAAGGCAAAACATAAACTGGAAAAATGGCTTACTTTCATTTCAGCCGCTAAATTAGGTCCGGGACTTTGCAGATCATCTTTACTCCATGAGAATTTCGAAGAACAATCACAAGAACAGTGTTTCAAAATGAATGTGGGTTGAACTAAATCACATTCCGTAGATTTAGTTAAAACTTTTGTATTAACACCACAAGGTGACAATGTTGTTTGTGTAGGACCGGGTTGATTGGTTAAATGCATTGTGGCCAGTGAATTAGACATAACATTTGCTATTAGTTTATCATGATGATGATTATGTGGAATTGTTGATGAAGTAAACCATGGAAATTGACTAATACGTTTTGTTGTCGGACGATCGCTCGGTTCTTTCGACAACATACTACGTATTACTTGTTCACATGCTTTAAAGTAGAGAACGAGATGAAAGTGTAAAATAATGTATTCAAAGTTGCGATCGAATTGAATTTATCGATTAGTAGGCAGAACGACAGAATTTTATGATCTTATTTAAGATTGAGAATAAGAAATGATTCAGTTCGGATTGATAGTCAGTCAGATGCAACATAGAACTTTGTACGTAAGTACATCAGTTCATGTTGCCATACTTTATCAGCACAGGGATATAATTGTCAATTCAAATCCAATAGTAGAAGAGGTAGTAAAGGTATTAAAAGTAATCGGAGAGGTTAGGATTAGAAGATACTATTCAAGAAGTATGATTTAATGAGAAAAGTTTAGAAAGTCAAAACTAGAGAGGTGGTGCACCGGCACCACTGCAAACGGTTTTGAGACATGTCATTCAGGGTATCTAACTATCGATTATTGTCATCTCGCGGAGCCCAACCAGGTAGACGACAACTACCGATATGGTCAAGTCTACTCGTCAATGACTTCATGGATTTCTGCCATGGACCAACCACTTCAATTGATGAAGTTTCAGCACTTCATCTATTGATCTGCCATTCTTAACTAGCACCCGATTCCTAATGACAGCGTTGCTCACTCGGGTGTCCCACGATATACGAGTAATGCTTCGAAGACACCTATGATCGAAAACCAATAACCGACGAATATCTTCTACTCTCATTGGCCATGTTTCATAGCCATAAAGTAAGACGGAGCTAACTACTGCACAGTACACTCGTCCTTTAGTCAGCAAACGGATATCTCGCCTACGCCATAAGTGACGCAGGTTGGCAAAAGCTAATCGAGCTTTCTGTATCCGTGCTGAGATTTTCCCAGTCACCAGGCCATTAGCACTGATGAAACTCCCCATATAAGTGAAGCGGTCTACACGCTCGACTACTTCACTCCCTATCGCTAGTTCAGGTGCCGATGCAACCCAGTCTTGAATCAACATTTTGCATTTCGAGGGGGAAAACTGCATCCCGAACATGCTTGCATTGTTGCTTAGGGTAATCAGAAGACTCGTCTTCACCAAATAGAATTATTTCATCGGCATATTCTAAGTCAGCAAGCGATTTTCCTGCTAGAAGGTCTACTCCTGAAAATTCAGACAGAAGACTCTGCATTTTGTCAGCGTCTTCACCAAGTAGGACAATGTCATCGGCATATTCTAAGTCAATAAGCGAGCCACCTGGTAAAAGGTCTACTCCTGAAAATTCAGACGAGGATAAGGTTATTAATAGCAGCATGCCTATGATAAAATTTAACAAGAATGGGGAGAGTGGACATCCCTGACGCACACCACTTGAAGTAAAGAATTCCGGTGACAGTACGCCATAAACTCTCACTCGACCAGTGGTGCTCGAGTAGAGGGCTTGTATAAGGGTAATGCACTTCTTTGGTACACCTTTCAATGACAGGCACTGCCACAGAACCTCACAGTCCACTGAGTCAAATGCCGCCTTAAGGTCCAGGAAGACAATTATTGTAGGACGCCTAAATGTGTGTCTGTGTTCCAGGACCTGACGTAGTGTGAAAATGTGGTCTATACAACAACGTCCAGGTCGGAAACCAGCATGGTTTTCTTTAGTCTGCTCTTCACGAGCACTAGTTAGGCGTCGAAGTATTATTGAGGCCAATAATTTAGAAACTATATTGGTTAGACTGATTCCCCTGTGAATGTCACAAGAAGACTTTTGTCCTTTCTTATAGATTGGGACAATCAGTGATTGAGACCAGTCGGATGGGATTACGTCCAGTTCCTAGATTCTACCTAAGACCTCGATCAACCTAGCTGCTAAAACTGGACCACCATCCTTAAATATCTCAGGGGTCAGTCTATCAGGACCTGCAGCTCGCCCTCGCTTCAGATTTCCCAACGCTTTTTCAACTTCATTAAGACTAGGGGGACTTACGTCGATTTGCCATTTAGGATGACTGGAGATCGTGGGTAACCGAAGTGGCTCGAGGCCAATTGAACTGATCCCTAAAGTGTTCTACCCGTCGATCCAGTCTCCTGGATTGAGAATAAATAATAGTCCCATCATTTTCCGAGACAGTCTCACTTACACTAGAATTCCTAATACCAGTCGGAAAGTTGTCTACTGTTGTCTATCGCCGCTGCCTTTTCCATCGCTTTTGCTTTGGCCGCCCACCACAGTTCACGGCCTAAGCTGACTCCGCTCCTCACCGCCCTCAGAGCCAGGTGGGATGAGTTTTCGGGCATCCATCAGATCGGTAGTTGCTATTGAGATCCACGGCTTCATTCTAGCCTTATGGTTTACCTTACTAGCAGATATCGCTGCTGTTTTCCAACCTGCTTCCTGATGGGAGTCGCTTACATGGTCACCTGAGTGTCTTTTTAGTTGTTTCTGAAATATATTCTTTGCCTTATTATCATTCAGTGAAACCCTAAGAAGCTTTCTTACGGTGTCTGTCCTACGTCCAGTAAGCCTCAAACAAATACGCGCTCGCACTAGGGTATGATCTGAATCTAAACATGTGCCCCAGAACGAGCGACAGTCCTCTATCGAACCCCTCCATCGGTGGCTGATGCCAATGTGATCTAGTTGGGTCCAACGTTGAGACGACTTTGGAGATCGCCAGGTCAACAGATGCTTTTCCTTATGCATTAAGTTAGTGCTTGCTAAGAATAAGCCGTTATCTGAGCATAGTGGCAACAGACGGTCGCTATTGTCTGTTCTTTGAGCAGTGACAACATAATAGGTGTCTTTCTTGCTCACCTAGTCTACCTACTTGAGCATTAAAGTCACCAGTTATTATTACTACATCAAAGCGCTTAACTTTTTGGAGGAGGTCCGAAAGCTTTCTGTAAAACTCATCCTTCACATCGTCTGAACTGCAGACAGTGGGAGGGTAAGCAGAGACAACAAACAGGCAACGGCGAGTGTCCCTATCTTTCCCAGTCCTTACAGTCCCGTTTAGTTGGACAGTGCACAATCGACTATCTACTGGGATCCAGTCAAGGAGAGATTTTTCAGCTCTACGACTCAATGCTATGCCTACGCCAGCAAGACCCCGGGAAGCAGCATCAGGGCTTCCAGATACACGATGAGTAAATCGAGCTGCTCCTTTATTTTGACAAGGTGAAATCAGATTAATAATTTTACTAGGATCATGTATGCGCGTTTCCGAGATGCAGCATACATCGATGGCACGAGATTCTAAAGTCCTAGCTAATGAAGCCTGTTGCCCTATTTGACACAATGTCCGTACATTAAATGCTCCAACATGTAGTCTGGAACGGGGTTTCAAGAGATCAGGAGTGACGTTTCGTGAACTCGCTTCGTTTGCATTAGCGGTGCAGTGAGATAAGGGAATGTGAGTAGAGTTAGTTGTGGAGAGAAGAGAGATATTAGGGGGTGTAGGAAGGACTTGATTTTGACCGATTTGGTCTCGCGTGCTGTTGTTATGGGTATGAGGACGGTTGTCACTTCCCGGCTGCCCACACCGTGGAAGGTTGTTTCTTGAGGGACCTGAAAAGGAAGATAGATTAGTGTTGGTCTTAGAGACCTGGGAGCGTGATCGCAGAGTCCAAGGGACAACTGCTTGAGGCCGGTCACGCATGGTCTTTTTATGTAGGGATTTTGAGCATTAGCTCCGCTCTTGAAAGCCCTTAGTGGGCACCCTTACCACCGGAAACGGAAATCCGTGAGGTATGGTGAGGTGTGACATTTTTAGGTTCGATCTTTCCTACCCCTTCCTTCCTTGTGAGAAGGCAGCATCGCTGCAGATGCTGGTTGTCCGAGGGAAACACCTTACTGCTGTCACACCCCTCTGCAGTCATCAGTACAACTTGGTCCTCAGACCTTGGGTAGCTGCTTCTAGTCTGATCGTTCTCCAATCGACCTGCCTGGCATGGTAGAACCTTTATGAACATATGTTCCAGCCAGTATAGCTTGGTAGGGTCATCACGATAGTCAAGTCTGACCACCACGCCAAGGTAGCAGCTACGGTCGGGGTTCGGATTGATAGATACATCATGCCTATAAAAACGGGCAATCAAAAACTTAGTTTTAAAGGTGACTACCAAAAAATTTTAACCCTTTATGAATGTCCGAAAAATATGATGTTTATCTATGTTAGATTTCCGGTACTGGTAAGGAAACTATCTGAAAAAATACCACGTTGTCTACTGATCAATATGTGGATAAAATTACCTTCAGCTACATTAAGAACATAGAACAAAGAACATAATATATAAGTCAGTCAGTCAGTTGCAACGTAGAACTTCGTACGTATGTACATAAGTTCATGTTGCCATACCACATTATTAGCACAGAGACGCAAATGTCAAATCAAATCCCATAGTGATAAAGATGGTAGAGTTATTAATGTTATAATAAAGAAGACTAGGGTTTAAGATATTATTCAAAAAAATATAATTCAGTGAGATAAGGTTAGAAAGACAAAGGTAGAAGTGTTGACCAATCCAGAAGATTAGGATTTGAGAGAGCTCAAAGAGTGGATGCACCTGCGCCATTGCAAACGATTTTGAGCCATGTCGTTCAAGGTCTCTAACCATTGATGACTTTCGTCTCGCGGACCCCAACCAGGTAGTTTACATCTACCAACATGACTCAGTCCACTTGTCAGTGACTTCATGGATTTCTGCCATGTTTTGGTCTGGCCGCCCCTAGCTTTCTTCCAATCTACTCCTACACCACAAAACATAGCTCGTCGAGGCAGTCGGTGGTTAGGCATACGTAACACATGTCCCAACCACCTCAACTGATGAAGTTTCACCACTTCATCGATTGATCTGCCATCCTTACCTAGTACTCGTTTCCTAACGACAGCATTGCTTACTCGGCTGTCCCACGATATACGAGCAATGCTTCTTAAACATCTATGATCGAATACTAGTAACCTACGAATATCTTCTACCCTCACTGGCCATGTTTCACAGCCATATAAGAGAACGGAACGAACTGCTGCGCAGTACACCCGCCCTTTGGTTAGCGAACGGATATCA